AAGAGATGCTCGCAGCGCGCAACCGTCTGCAGAAGGCCGCATGACGAGCTGATTGGTCAATTGGTTTGAGTTCGACCAATCCCAAATCGTGCAACGCCTCGACATCAACCAATGAGGTTGATCGAGTCATTGACAGCCGCGCGCCACGACAACGGCGAGAATGCGACGCCCGCTAAGGGCAGCGCGAGCAAAGGCAAGGACAGCTCCACAGGAGTAGCCCATCTATCTATCTATCTATCTATCTATCTATCTATCTATCTATCTATCTATCTATCTATCTATCTATCTATCTATCTAACGACCCAACTATCCTTGGCCGACGCGCAATTGGCGACGCTCTCGAGCGCCTTTTCGAGAGTGCGTCCAAGTGCAACGACTAGCAGAATTCATGTGCATGCATGCGGCGTGCCACTAACGTCCCTCGGATTGTGCAAGGGCTCGGCTATCGGACCACTGCACAGGTGCGTTGATCGAAGAGGCAGCGGAGTACAATCGCCGTGCGATACCTCGGGGCGTAGCGGCTGCGCCGGATCACTGCCTCAAAGCCCTCGCATGAACAAAGGTAGCAGTGGCCAAACAGTAGACCTTGGCACCGGCGACGATCTATTTCTCCTTGTGGAAGGAGGTCCTCTTGCTCGTCTGCTGCGCTAGCATCATCTCAGGGACAGAGGTGCTGGGGCAGCATCGTTGCGTCGTCGAACTTCACCTTGTCGACGACCCATGGACGCATAATCTGTATGGCTGAAGGGTAAAACTGCAGTAGGTCGACCGCATCTTCACCGGCTATAGTAGCCCGCAGCTTAACCCGACAATTATAGTCAAAGTGGGCAAATTTGGTCGGAAAATTTACAGTACGTAAAATCCTCCCTAGCGTCAATTTGACACCGCAGAGAGCTGAAGAACGCACAAGAGAAGAAAAAAAGGGCAAATATACGTCTGTTTCTAGGTCTTTTTAGCTGTAAATTCCGCCTCCATGCGTTCCATGAGGGACTCCGATGGAATGGAGCGATGGGATTTGTACTTCTTGACAGCAAACTCTGCGAGATGCGGCGGAAGCCCAGCTGCGTACACCTGCATGCAGCAATGACAACGCCGCTCGAAGCGTTGAACATGCTGCAGAGGGACTTGAGCGAGAGCCGCTGAACCTGTTTCGTGAAGACTCTTGAACGTGTAGTCGTAGTGTTGGCGGCAGTAGACCTATACATGCCAATGAAGACGACGAACACAAGCCCGAGGAGCAGCAGCATCTTCCAAACCGTGAGTCCGTTGTTCAAATGCGCCTCGAACCGCGCGTTCTCCGAGTCGAGCTTGTCGAAGTTGGCCTGCGCGCGGTCGGCGACGCTGCTGATGAGCGCCGCGTCGTCTTGCAGCGATTCGTCGTAGCTGTGCCTTCAAGTGCTGTGTCATTTGGTACATCTCCGCCTCCATCGCGTCCTTCTCTTCCTTCGAGTGCTCGGTCGAGGCGCCTCCTAAGCCCGTAATGCTAGAGAAGGGGTCAGCGATGCCAAAGACATGATGGATATGTACCCGAGCTTCTCGCGCATGTCCTTGAGCGAGGTGGTTGGCTGTTCCGGCACGGGCGAGGCGCCGAGGAGATCGTCCAAGTCCTCGACGAGGTCGTTGGTGTCGTCCATGAGGCTCGCGTTCTGCGCGTCCCAGCCGCTCTGTACGTGCTCTTCCAGCTGCGACAAGAACGAGTCTACGTGGCTTTTTGTCGGCGGCTCGGCAGCGCGCTCGATTGCCTGCACGCGCCGTCGCCGCAAGACGTCGGGTGGCGGAAAGATATGGTCTCGTGGCGAAACTGGGAATGGAGATCGCCGAGGACGCCGACGAGCTCGTCGCACTCGGGCGTGCAGCTCAGGCTCGGATCCAGCTCCACGTGCTTGAGAGCAAACTCGACGTTGCGGCAGTACTACATACAGATGCTGGACCATGGCATGCGGAGTGGGCGGCGTACCGTGGCGACAGCCTCGCTCGACGTGCAGGAGGTCGACGCGAGGAAGCGCCGGGAC